CTATATTTCAGGCCAGAAAATCTTGGCATTGAGGAAAGTGAGTTTGTTTAGTCACATATCACCGTATCTCTTTCTCGTACTAGTTTTCCAGCAGTTCTGGTTCCCTCTAGAGAAGTCTCAATCTTGGAACTGAGGATTATGGTAGAAAAAACAAAAAAGAAAGCCCAGATTCTCTTCCTGCTAACTCACATAAAAGATATTTTTAAGAGATTATTAGGACCCTAAACGCACTTGAATAGAATTGGTGTGGGCTAATCGGATGGTGACTCCCTGAACTTGTTCACTTTCTACATAATTTGCCTGTCCCCTAGGATTTGTCATATTCTACGGGTTGTGATATAGCAAGTACAATATTTCCCTTATTCCTTGTAGGTCATCCTGCTGCAAAGCAGAACTGGAGGGGTGGGGGAGATTTCCTCCCACCAAAGGACCTTGATTTAGCTACTCTGATTGTCTAATACCAGCTCTGATGTCTGTGATTTGGAATAACAGTGCATTTCATGGGTGTTATTGAAGCTTTCACTTAGAAACTCATGCTGGTTGGCTTTGGAAAATCATGTTGGTACCATGAGATGAATTTACTTAGTCATGGATTTATGGAAACCTAGGTTCATAGAGTCTAATCTTAGAAACTTTATCAATGCCCTGTCTTATGTTGAACATGATACTTAGTCACTTTCCTTGGAAACAGCCTTAGTTTGTTTCTCTTCTATTCCAAGATCTTAGCCTTAGCCAAGTACTTTTTAAAAATGTTCTTTTTACCCTGCCAGAGCAATAAAGAAGTCCATTTCAGTATTGGAGGCGGAGGGTGGGGGCAGGGCAGGGAATTGAGACCACACTAGTGAGAAATATTTTCCTGTTGTTCTGAAGTTCTCTTGCTTTTTGTCCTGGATCTTTTACATGCTGACCCTTGGATTACCTCCTACCTGTTCTTGTTGTATTTTATGACAAATCCTTGATTGAAGATAGGTTGGGAATAGATTTATTGCTTTTATTTTTCTGAATAGGGATATTTTGAGTTGAACTCATTTTAACTTGTTGCTAGTCCTTTCAAGATGCTGCTTATCTTGGGGCTCCTGGGTGGCTCAGTGGTTAAGTGTCTGACTTTGGCTCAGGTCAAGGTCTCACGGTTCATGAGTTCGAGCCCTGCATCAGGCTCTGTGCTGACAGTTCAGAGCTTGAAGCCTGCTTCAGATTCTGTGTTTCCCTCCCTCTCTGCTCCTTTCCTACTCACGCTGTGTCTCTCTCTCTCTCTCAAAAATTAATAAACATTTAAAAAAAAAGATACTGCTCATCTTGTTTGGGTGTAAAATGGTGGCCATTTCTCTGAGGAGTGGAGATAGTTGGCATCTCTGTTATCAAGATCAGAGTTCAGAAAGCAAGTCAAGATTGAGGCATTCTTCCTTCAGTTCTCCAAGAGGAAGTGAGAAACTTCTCCTTTAGGGAATGTATTGATGACAGGAAAAAGGCATTTCAGGCTTTGTTGGTAGAGGGGAGCTCTGATTTTTAAAAGGAATTAGAGCCCTTTATGCTAATAGACAAGGGACTATAAAAAGTGCCATAGTGTGTGGTTGGCTTTTTGTTGAACATCTGGTAATCTGCTTTTTCTACACCTTGTTTTCCCCGACCCCACTGTCCCTCACTCTCCCTTCTCTTCCTGGTTCCTCCCCCCCCCCCAAATTCCAAAATGGAACCATGTTTCTCAGAAGTGTGATTTGAAAGTCACATGCATCAGAATTAATGGAGGTTGTTAAATTCAGATTCCTGGGCCCACTTCCAAGATTTAATTAGAATAACTGGGGGTGGATCCTGAGAATCCACATTTTTTAAAGTCCCAGATGATTTCTCATGCATATTACACTTGGAACTGTAAACTACAGCATCTTTGACATTATCTTTATATCTCAACTGTGAGGGCAAACTGTTTCTAAGCTTTTTGTTCCTAATGAACTAGATTGTGCTTACTGTTCTGGTCAGAAGGAGCTGGCTGTAGAAACCCTGCTGAGAAATTACGGTGAACATAGCTCACTTTCTAGATTTCCGGTATCATTCCATCCTCTGGAAGGAATTTAATTTGATGCCCAAACATGAAGTATTCAGTTTCGGCAGCTTCTCTTTGGCACCCCCAAACACTCTAGGAGCAAGGGTCCTGCTTACCTACCCTCTGTGTGAGAGACAGGAGTTCCCTGCCCAGAAGTATGGGCAAGAGAGGTTAGTGACCTTCCTGGAACCCCACAGACTGCTTGAGTGGCTAGATTGCAAATGTAGCTCAAGGAACCTGGGTGGGGCTGGGATGGGCCTGATGCCTGTCCTGGGCAGACTTCTGTAGGTCTGACTGGAATCAGCAGAGGCAGTTCCTGTGAACCTGATGGAAAGGGCGTTTGCTGGCCGCCTCAGCTTTCCTGTCAGGGATGCCTGAGCTGATGCAAACCCCTGCTGCTGTTTCTGTGGGGCCAGCCAAGTTTCTTTTTGTTGAGTCTTGTTTCCACGCCCCGCTCCTCTTCAGTTCTGCAGATGGTGGTTTATTTGTACACTCCGTGCAGATCTTGGATTGAAAGCCTCTCATTGTTTTTGAGCTCAGTGTTTAGATAACACCACATGCCTGTGGAAGCTAGGGCACCCTGTAAAGGAACTGCCTGGACTCTAACAGCCCCGTCATTCATTCTCTGTATGAGTGAGTGTGGCCTCTGTATAGGACCATTATAAGAACGTTTGTCTACAGAAATGATTACTTGGGGCCTATAGGGGTACCAGGCTTCTCCTTGATGTTTGGAGTTCTAGCAACTGTCTCCTAAGTCTTTTCTCTCTTTTATTTCATTCCACTGATAAGAGGATTAAAGCCTGTTTTGCACCAGGCCTGTTTCTGTACTTAGGGCACGCCCCTCTCTAGTGAGAACACTGCTTTGGGAGACACAGGACTGACTGACCCTAGTCCGTTTTTGTGATCAGCTACGTTTGCATGTGGTTTCAAGGGCTCCTTTTCCCATGGGATATCTCCTTTCCTGTCCCTCTAATCTTCCCCAGAGTTCTTTCTTCACGCCAAAGAAAAAACAAAAAAAAAATGTTGTCTTCATTCAGTATTAAATCTATTCTGGTAGCATATAGCTCTTTAAGTTTTCGCTTGGGAAACTGCCATTTTTTTTCCTTAAAAATGTTTCAGATAAATCTGCCAGGCTCTAATTTAGGTCTTTTGAGGCCCTTTCCAGCTCTGTGATTCCCTAGAATTTATAAACTTTTCCCCCCTCAAACTACTAGGATTATTTTCTTTCCAGGACAACAAAGTCTGTATGAGGCAAAACAAGTTAGTAGGTTTGATGTCACATGAATTTCTGCACCTCCCCTGATATATATACTTAACCTCACTTCCCTACCAGTAATTCAGTACTCCAAGAATTGAACCCAAAATACAAAAGAGAAGTTAGTTATATGGTCAGTGGACAGTCTATCCCTTCATAATAAATAGTCTAGCTAATCAAGGATACTAACTACTGAAAAGATAAAGCACAGACACATATACACACCCTTTTTTACTTAGTACTGTGTAATTGTTAATGTTCATGGCCATCCTAGTTCACTGTAAAATTGAAAAGATCTTCTGAATCATCAAAAGAAATTAATTGGAACCATATTGTGTGACTTTTTTTTAATGTTAGGAATATTAGGAGACCGCAGAAGAATATTAGGTGAACCAGAACAGATCTCTCATTTGTGAAGCTAGATAAATGTATTAAGGTAATTATACACTTGTTGGGCATTGTAATGGAAAACAAGTCATCTTGGTTTTCTAATTGTCCTACTACTTACTGTGCATTTAAATTAAATTTTTTTGTTTAGGGGCACCCTGGTGGCTCAGTCAGTTAAGTGTCCAACTCTTGATTTTGGCCCAGGTCATGATCCCAGGGTTGTGGGATTGAGCCCCACATTGGTCTCCACCCTGAGTGTGGAGCCTACTTACGATTCTTTCTCTCTCCCTCTGCCCTTCTGACTTGCTCATGCTTCCCCTCTCTCTAAAATGAATGAATGAATGGTTTGTTTAGGGGTGCCTGGGTGGCTCAGTTGGTTAAGTGTCCGACTCTTATTTCTGCTCAGGTCATGATCTTGCAGTTTGTGAATTCAACCCCACGTCAGGCACTGTGCTGACAGTGCGGAGCCTGCTTGGGATTCTCTCTCTCTCCCTCTCTCTCTTTCTCATTCAAAACTAAACATTTTTTTAATGTTTTATTTTTTATTGTTGAGAGAGAGAGGGGGGAGCAGAGAGAGAGGGAGACAGGATTTGAAGCAGACTCTGCACTGATACACTGACAACAGACAGCCTGAGGTAGGGCTGGCCCTCATGAGTGGCAAGATCATGACCTGAGCCGAAGTCAGACACGTAACTGACTGATTCACTGCCCCCCCCCCCCAAATAAACATTTTTTTAAAAACTTGTTTGGTATTCACTCTCTAGTTATGCCATATAGAATAAAAATTTTCTGTAAACAGATTAAAATTCAAAAATAAAAGGCTTAAGTAATAAAATGATTATTATTGAAAAAATATCCAGAATAAACAGTAAAGTATCTGTTTTTCTGCTGATGTGCTTTATATTTCTAAAACAAGGATATATATGTCCCTTAAATGGCATCCATGATTAGTGGACATGACTCCCCTCGCAGGGCCTTGACGAGTGTTATCTATTTGATTATGTAGTTAGCTCAGGCTAATGAAATAACTAATCATTTTAATACGTCTCTTCTTTCATGACGCTTTTGTTATTTATTTCCTGTAAATTTACTGGTAATTCACCTTTTGGAGATCAAAAAGAGGAAATGACAGGTTCAGTAACTGGCATAGAATTGTTACCTTCTAGCCCAGTGCACAGAAATACCTTGCTGCCGAAATTCAGATGTAAAGCCTGACAGGAGATTTGGATGTACTTGGGGAAGAAGTAGATGCAGTGCATTTTGCAGAGTCTTGTCCAACGTGCCTCACAGCCGGTCCCCGTGCTCTCTGCCTTTCAGTTCTCTCCTGCGCTACGGTGGCAACCTGTCCCTCCAGAGCGCCATGAGTGTGCGGTTCAACAGCAACGGGACGCAGCTCCTGGCCCTGAGGCGTCGCCTGCCCCCTGTGCTCTACGACATCCACTCCCGCCTGCCTGTGTTCCAGTTCGACAATCAGGGTTACTTCAACTCTTGTACCATGAAAAGTTGCTGCTTTGCAGGGGATCGTGACCAGGTAGGCGCCCTTTGTCTCCTGCGTCCCACATTCATGCTTTCCTCCCAGACTGCTTTTTCTGTTCTTGTCTTTGTTTCTCTTTAGCATCATGTCAAGTAGAAACAATTGAGGCAAAACAGTGTCTGGGGACATTCTACCCCAATAGTGAGTTTCTTCATCAGAGCTGCTGCCACCGGGTAATGTGAGGTACACACCGTGAACCAAGACTGGCCACAATATAGATCTGAGCAACCTAGCTTGGCCAGGTTTATGAACAGATTTTAAGGTTCTGAGAATGTGTCATTTCAAAAGGAGGGAGTCCATGGAAAATTAGCCAAAAAAAGAGAGACTTTTTTGTGTGTATGTGTCAATAAAACGCAATGATGGATGAAATACCCTAAGTACCATCCAAGAGACATCTATCCTGAAAGGCCCCTTGAGATGGCATCTTTTTCTTGGATGAGACAGGCTAAGCAGCTTTGTTTGAGAGGAAGCCAGATGCTGACTCCTTTTCTTTTTATTGCCAGCATCACAGCTGGGAAGGAGAACCCAAGCTGGGTCTGCAGCCTTTTCACAGTCTCACTGGGAATTGAGACACTGATGTTGACTTAGAGCTGGCAGTTTAAAGACATGCTCCACATCCTTGCACCTGTCTGTCTTGGCCATAGAGGCTCTGCAGTGTGTGTCAGCGAGGGCACCAGTTGGACTGGTCTCAGTAACCCGATTGGCTAAGGACAAACCTGGAGGCATTGATCAAATAAACAAATAGATTTTTGTTATCTTCTTAAACACAACAGATCTTAGGCTATTTCACATCTAGATTGGAAAAAGAGAGACCTTAGTCTCTTGCTAACGCTTAGTGTTCTCTTTGGGTTCACCAACCACGTAAAATTTTGACATAGAATTCTCATGTGCTGTACTCTCCTTTTTAGAGTTGACATAAAATAAACCATTCTTGGGGAACTTATGAATATTCTGCCCCCCCCCCCCCGCCTTTTTGAGAGAGAGAGAGAGAGGGTGGGTAGGGCACAGAAGATCCAAGGAGAGCTCTGTGCTGACAGCAGAGACCCCATTGTGGGGCTGTAACACACGAACTGTGAGACTTTTAAGTTGTCTAGACTAAGGATGTCCCTTTTATAAATAGGGGATATATATCTAACTCCAGAGTTTATATTGAAGGCAGTCTTAGGGCCTACCTCACTGTGATCCACACTGGAAACCACTAGGTGTCCTCAGTTATATAAGTGAATGACTTCGTTTCTACATGCCGTTTGTTTCTTGGGTGGGAAGGAGCAGTTTCTAGACATGATCAGACTCACAACAGAACAGATCATTGTCTTCAGATTGGTTGATTTAGTTTCATTTAGCTGTGGAGATGACAACCAAGCCCCTCCCTCCATTTCTCCCTCCCTTTTAAGTTGACTTTCCATCTCTGTCAATCTCTTAAATGTGTGATCCTCATTTCAATGATCAGTAAAAAGCAGGCACTAAATGTAACGGTTTATTAGGCTTTATTACCAGAAACACAGGGCTGAGGGAAAGGTGAAGAGGTAAAGGAGAATAAATGTTGTTTTCTTTTAGCTCCTCTAATAGCAGCCAGAACCTGTCTGTATGGAGCTCTTCAAAGACCCAGAACATAGGCCTCTAGCCAATATATCTAGAACACCCAGACCATGGTTCCTTGACTTCTTTGGAGGAGAGCTCTTTTGTTTCATCATTTTACTTAGCTTTCTGTCTCTTGTTAGTTTTAAAGACTTGTTATGCTCTCTGCACCTGTGAGTGCTGCTGTACCCAAGAAGACTCTTTGACTGTCCAGGGCCTATCCTTTTAGAGAGTGTTTTTTGAATGATATCTCTTGGTCTCTCTTGTTGAGACCTTGGTTATTTTATTTTCCTACTCGTAGTGATATTTGGGACTCTCCACCATGTGTACTTTGGCTCGTTTCTTGAGGTAGCCCTGGAGAAGAAAACAGACAGACAAACGCACAGGGATCAGAGGCACACAGTTGCACAGACAAATCCAACAAACATGGAAACCGAGAGGGAAAACGAAAAAGTTAAAAGACGGAGAAGGGAAGGCGAATAATAGAAAATAAAAAATACATAAAAAGGTCAAAAAGAAGAAAAGAAAAAAAAAGAAAACCGACGGACAAAGAACAGTTTAAAGCATATAACTGGATTTCCCAGCTACAATTAAATAGCCGGGTGTATGCAGTGCTGGTTGAAGAGCATAGAGAAAGAGAGAAGACAGGGCGGGGATGAGGCAAAATTGGAAATAGAATGAGCAGGCAGAAGGGATAAGAAGCTTTTTTCAAAGAGCTAAAGGGTGGAATATGGTTGAATAGGTGAGAGAAGGATGCTGGGGTATCCAGAGAAACTATATAGACTGATTACTCTTGAGAGAAAGGGATGATAAGGTAGGTAGGTGTAGAATTTACATCTACAGAATGGACTAAATGTGACTGTTTAAGCAAGCCGGTGACCAGAGTTAATCAGGTCAGTGTTCCAGAAAGAAAAAAAAAAGGAGGAGGGCAGCTCTCTAGCAGGGATGGGCGTGGTGTGATCCAATGCGCCAGGCGGGAGTTCTGCCTTGGCAGTTGTGGGGAGGAGAGTGGCAGCGCTCCAGTCCCTTCTTCAACCAAGCACTGCACCTCGCTTTTTTGGGTGTGTAAACTCCCCCTGCCGGGGGGCGCACCCAAAGTGGGTCACGCTCTTTAACCCAGGCCAGGCCTAGTTTCCAAATCCCACTGAAATTGCCGTAGACACACCCTCTCAGGCAATCCCCTCAGGGCAATGCCAAGCCTCTTGCCTAGCCCTGGGGATGGAGCCAGAATCCCTGCTCCAGGTCGGGTTGGTGAGCAAGGATGGGGGTTTGCCTAGGGGACGCGCTGGCCCGCTGGAGAGCGGGAAACCGGGTCCCTCTGTGTCTCATCACCCGAAACACGAACTTGCGGGCAAATCTCCCAGTTTTAAGCCCTTCGCCTTTCCTCTAGGGGTCCAGCCAAGCCAGGAGTGCTGAGGCCTGGTACGCGGGCGGCTCCTCCATGGGTCCAGCCAGCCAGGAGCACAATGGCGCGGTCGGCATGCAGCCTCTCTAGGGGTCCAGCCAGCCAGGAGCTCAAAGGAGCAGTTGGTGCGCGACCCCTCCCGGACAAGTTGGTGTGTGGGGACCTGGCATGCAGGGATTTGGCGCACACAGTCCTCTGTGCCTCAGGCGGAAGTTTTTCTGTTCCCCAGCGACAGGGACCCTGTCTTGAGTAGTTTCAGACTCTCTCTTTCCCCTCTCACTCCCTGCAGAGGGGGATCGCCCCCGTCCCTCTGAGTCTCTGATCCCGGCCGATTTTATCTTCCCCAGTTCGCACTCATGTTAGAAGACTTTCTCAGTGGATTCTGCATCCTTTTTCTCCCAATCTCTTGGGTTCTGTAAGGTTTCCTATGGCTTCAGTTCTTTCCCGTGTGAGATATGGGGGCGAGTGCAATCCACGGAGCTCCCTACTTCTCCGCCATCTTGCCCCCTCTCCCATAGTTCCTTGACTTCTGCACTGTTGACAGTTTGGATGAATAATTCTTTGTATCGTGGGGCTCTGTTGTGCATTATAGGATAGTAGCATCCCGGGTCTGTCCCCACTAGATGCCAGTAATCTCTCCCCCAGCCATGCCCCAGACAACCAAAAATGTCTCCAGACATTGCCAGATGTCCTCTGGTAGAAAATTGCCCCGACTGAGAACCTCTGACCTAGATTATCATTACCCATTTTGCCCAGACACACTGGGATAGGTATTGCCGTAGGCAGAACCAGAGAAGGGATTTTGTGATTTCCCGGTTATGTACATTAACAATATGTAGTTGTTTTGCCTTTAAGTTTATATATAATGATAGAAACATTGAATGGCTTTTGGTTTTTTTTTCTGTTCAGATTTGACTAATTTATTATGTGTGGTTTAAAAAGAATTACTTATTTAAGTAATCTCTAATTGGGCTCAAACTCCTGACCCTGAGATCAAGAGTCACATGCTCTTGTGACTGAGCCAGCCAGGCGTCCCTTATGTATGCTTTGTTATCCTATGGGAAAAGTTCATGCATACTGTATCCTCTCTGACAAACCAGGTTGCTCTTTGATTGGGATGTGTGGTTTTCTGTGAAGGAGGATATGAAATCATTGACTCTAACTTTGGATCCATTTCAGAGGTAAAGTCTTTCAAGGCTGTTCATGGTCCCCATATAGATTATCAGAGGTATGTAACCTAGGGAATAGGAAGTATAGAGATTTATGTTAGGCTATTTTGTTCACTCCTTGGGGATGAAGATGTGAAATGTGGCTAATTCATCATTGTCTTGTCTCCAATACCTGAAAGCAGTGAGAGCACAATAAATATTTGTTGAAGCAAATCTTGAATACTTTGATCACTGTGTGCTTTTTAGCTTTTGGACCCTAAGGCTTTTCTAAGTGTAAATCAGAATTGATAAGTACCATTTTCCTGCTTAACTTCCAGGGGCTTTATGAGGATGAATTAAATAATAGGTTTTCAATGTGGCTAATATCCTGAGCTGATACTTTCTAAGTGCTACACAGGAGGCCAAACTCATTGCTGGAACATGTCTCTCAGAGGTGGTTTATAGGCTCTGACTTTCCACACTTAGAGCTAAAGTAGCAGCTGCTACGGTTACAGTATGATACACAGGATTGACGTGTGTATTCTTTGACTAGTCCAGACAAGATCTTTTTTGCTGCTTTCAAATTCCAAAGCCTACCCTTTCCTTATATTGGTCTTTGTATGTGATGTTGCTCTTGTATACTTCGAGAACGCCCACAGCTGGAGGCTCTGTGCTCTGGAACTCTTCATGTAGTCATAGACTGGGTAACCGTCCCAGGGAGGAATCTGAGAATTTCCATATTAGGAATGAACACGGTCAAGAAAGACATTAAGCGATCTATCTATCTGAAACAGTCTTCTGGCTTTTTATTATGGTGAAATTAGTCTTTCTACACAAATGGACTCAGATATTCTGCCAAAGAGCCT